TAGAAAAGTTACGATAACAGGAACTTCATCACAAGGCTGCTGATTGGATGAGAATCGATTACAAAATTCAAATTCATACAAATTTATTGTACATCACAGTTATTTATGCATATTATGATGGCTAACCACATATAAATAATATTTGATGAAAAATGATGTGGTCATGAATTTATTCTGCACAACAAGACAAATTCTCACACTGTAACGCGAGACGCGAGAGTTGTGGCAAGCATGGTAATCATTTAAACAAGAGAACAAATGCCATACGCCATTTTGTAAATGTATTGTTTTGTTTTATTAGCGGTAGATAATTAATGATTTTGACGTGTTTTTCAGGAAAAAAAATTAGTCGCAACATTAGTCTTACCATTAACTTCCACTCGTAAACCGTTGACAGATACATCGTAATGTTACGAGAACGAAAAATCCTCGCAAATATCCTCATAACATTACGAGAGCCAAGACCCTCTCGTAACTTTAATATTAAGATGAAAATAACACATTTAGACTAAGAATTACAATTATAGTGATATTATATTTTATAATAATTAATGAATAAAATGTGTGTGGGTAAATTCAGACTGGTGTAATCTCAGACCGGTCTGGAATTGTTCGCGCAAATTATATCTTAACCCGGGTGCCCATAGGCGGGTAAATTCAGACTGGTGTAATCTCAGACCGGTCTGGAATTGTTCGCGCAAACTACATCTTAGCCTGGGGGCCGTTGTCAGAAACCCTATGGGCACCCGGGATAAGATATAATTTGCGCGAACAATTCCAGAACGGTCTGAGATTACCCCAGTCTGAATTTCACCGCCTACTGCCAGACTAATCTGTGTGAGTGGGGGGGGGGGTACGGAATACGCGTAGGTGGGTAATTAATAGAAAGCTGAGGAGATACAATGATGAGAGGAGAAATAATACGGAACAGTGTATGAAAAATCGGCGAGAAAGGAAGGGAGGAATGGGTCAAATGGGTGGAGAGTGAGTGATAGAGTATGTTAGAGGCGGGGAGAAGAGATCAAAAGAGGGAACACGCGTGAAGTAGATGAAGAAGAGGAACGGTGGTAGGAATTCTATAGTTAAAAAAAAAAATATTACTATTCTTATCACGAGTGATTGATGCATTACAAGGAATACAAAACCACACACAATACACTTTTCTGCAATGCTATATACACTGTATTATATTATTTACGAATCAAGCCAGTAATGACATATTTATTATATACAAAAGCTGCTTAACATTCTTCAATCTTGCATAAGCTATTTCAAATGTTAATGACCAAAACAGGTTTAGATGTTAACAAGTGCTTCCCAGAGATGAAATCATTGTGCAGTGAATTACTAGTGTACCAAAGTATAGTGTTACCGAGGCATCAATGATTGCCAGAAGCAATCATACTTCTGCCCATTAAAATATAAAATTGCTGACCCTACAGAAAACCAACACTTCAAATTATATATACAGCAACAATAATAAGTTACACAAACGTGGTAATAAGCAGGGAAATTGACATTTGCGTTGTCACATCATTGCATTATTATGCGCATAGATAACAATAAATAATCTACAATAATATTCATTCGGACAGTAGGAAACCCGATTAAATACATCCTCGACACTTCCCCAATATTTGCAGGTGGGTGCAGCAATCAATAATGGTTTCCACTACTTAGGGCCTCATCAGCAATGTTAACTATTGCCAATATCTCGATGCACAATTGGGAGATATTTGCCAATGGACAACAGCGATCACAAGGTTTCTGCTATTACATAGAAGTAATAGAGCGAACGTTGCTACACCCGGAGAGTGACTGTGGCACAGGTATATATACTGCCACTCTCATTATTCCCATCGGTAACACCTAAAGATAGGTTTTGATGTGATATGGAACAACCGAGAGTGCAGGAGCAGCAGTAGTATGCACACCACCAACCTTTGCTAAAGAAACACTGGATGCACTCAGATTGTTTGCATTACTAAAAGTGCTTTCGTAACAACGCAACTTCTTCACAATAGCATATATAGTGTGAGCCACACGCATGAGAATGCTTGCAATAAAAGCTTTGATTGGGCACACGAGAAACAATACTTCTCACACAGAGCAATGTTTGGATGGGAAACACTAGTATATTTACAGGGCATAGACGTTCACTAATATATTAAATGTCCCACTAAAAGGTGATCCTCGAATCAATTCACATATTACCACAAATGCTGTGTGTAGGAAAATTTATGTAAATTAATCCATTTCGCAGTAGTATCTTCAACAAAAAGAACAACACAGTAGAATGAGTAACATACGATTAACCTATCTGCCTGTCATGATTGACAGGCAGCTCTAAGAAATCATTGTTGTGATAAGACATTCTAGAAGGCAATGCTTGGTTACGAAGTGCAGCAAAGTCTACAAGCATGCACACATGGTAAATACACACAAGATTGGTTTTGCTCAACCAACCTAGTAACAATATCCAACGGCGCATGGTTACCCCCCTCGTACGAATACGTCAATTAATGGTGCCAGTTGCAGCTATGACACCGGCTGGAAGGGGAATGAGGATTCGGTCTGACCTCCGCTATTGTGCAGCACTGCCGAGAAGCTAGCAACAGGCCCCTGGGGACCCTGTGATGATGCAGGTTGCGCATCCATCAGCATTGGCGTCGGCTCGGTGCATGACTGCGAGCCCGTCGTCGTCATACACGTGTGAGCGTGCGAGCCGTGGTTCGCCGGGCTCGCCACGCAGAACGAGGGCACCTGCGTTGGCGCGTGTGCACGCTCCGTATTACTGCTCGGTGGAGGAGAAAAGCCCAGCTTCTGCTGCAGCGTGAGTGGCTGCTGGGCAGCTGCCGACCCGGCCACCGGCAGCTGCGATGGGAAAGATGCAGGAGGTGGCTGCGCCGCGTAGCTGTCGGACGACGGGGCGTGAGTCATCGGTGATGGCACCGATAGCGCGAGAGACTGCGCAATCGTTGTCGTCGTCGTCGCGATGTCGGACTTGTCCCACGAGTCGCGTGTGCATGGCGTGTCCTCCAGCCAGCTGGTTGGCACTGTAACAAGGGTGCACCTTGATCAAGTATGGTAGCATTATTACATAATACCTCCAGATGCACGGCAGCATTTATTCCTACGTAGGTACGCATAGGGAACACTGTGACACCTCATTTAACGTACCATATCTACCGGAGGCTACATTACTCTCACTGTAATGAGTGCTCAGTTTTTCTTGAATGATATTGAATTTACTACTGCATAGTATACATTGCAAACATCATCATACGTACCGTCAGATGAGTTGTGTGTGGAATGCCTCTGTAAGGGCAGTCTAGGCTCAGGGCTGTCTTCCTCCATACTTCCAGAACTTGATGATAAACTACAAGACAACGTAAAAACTGCATCGAACATTTAAGATAAACAGCGATAGTACAGTAAAAAATATTGCATTTCTATAATGCATCATAGAATTTGACAAAATTGACCCATGTGCCATTCACCCATGATTGACAGGCAGTTTAACCAATCTGTACTGTAATGGGATATGCTAGAGACAATGCTTAGTAATGAAGTGCTGAAGAAATTTTGGCATCTGCACATATAAAACATGTATAACTACAGCTTCAATAATTATATAAGAGGGGGCATAGTTATTACGAGTGGATCAGGAGGTTAGACCAATAGCTACGAGCAGAAATCACATTATTATTGCGTTACTTAGAATCGTAGAGTAATTGCATATGCTGGGACAGCAACACACCTGTGTGTGAGTGGATGAGGAATGATCAATACTCGATCGCGTTCTGTCATCGATACTGCACTGTTGAACTTTTTCGGTGGGCTCATGTAGTTTCGCGGGTCCTCAGTGTCGCTGTCAACTACAGATGGAGATAACAGAAACATCCCTATGCACTAGATGTACATAAAATACTATCATGCCTCATTAATGTAAAAGAAGCTTGTCCGCTAAGTGAAAACATCTGTAAAACAAGATCATCATAACGTGATACTTACGGGGACACTTGGTGTTGTTTTACACAAGGTAATGGATGGTAAACTACATAAAGCCTGGCGCACATTGCCGAACATTTTCCCAAACAAATGTTCGTCCGAACAAATGTTTTTGTCTGGCAATGTGCGGGTGGACAATTGCTGAGCGCACATTGCCGAACATTTTGCAGCGAACAATCTCGTGGCGCTGTCTAGTAGCTGTGTTGTAAAGAGTCACGTGATCGGCGCATGATTGGGCACAAAAATCATGTGACCACATATCGTGCTGCTATTGGTTACTACTTTACAAATGTTCTTAGAACTGTTCGACATTCAGCGCACATTGACGAACATTCGACGAACAATGTTCGAGATATCAAACATTTCCGATCTTCAGAAACATTGTTCGGAACAAATGTTCGGCGACTTTTTTCACCGCACATTGCCGAACATTTCATGGAACGTTGTTACGATAATGTTTTTGAGCAAAATGTTCGTCAATGTGCGCAGGGCTTAAGACAGCATTTCCCCTGGTATATCATGAGCAAGGTGGACCACCTCGCTAATTTTTCTCATCTGCCTCATTCAATATTTGCTGAAATTGCTGCCAAATCGCTGCAAATTCTCTGGTCCCCGTTAAATCATTATCCAGCCAGCACTCCCTAGTGCTGGGTTCTCCTCCTACCCAGGACCCTCGTACATTGATCAGCGTTGCCACAGGTCAGAGCAAACAGTGCAGGCACGACCGCATTTGCTACTCGCCAGGAATGCGCTAGGCACATTAAATATGAAGGCGATCGCACTTATTTAACCCAGCCGCATCGCTCACGATTATAGTCAGGAGAAATACTGATAGCAGGTTGTGACTTGTGGACACTCCCATTAGTTCATTGATAATTGATATATGATGATTAGATATATGGGAAATATTAATCTATATGGGAGAACTAAATACATTTATACAAAGAAACCAGAGCATTGGCTATATGGACCCTGGGTTATGTAGCAACTGACTACAAAATAAGCTGTTTATTTACTGATGCAACTTACACTTTCTCTTCACTGCTGCTAGTGAACTTGGCCGTATGGCGATAGGGCTCAGACTTCTTCTGTAATGACACCCACGGTCAATTATTAAGTAAACTTTAGTTTCACAAATGGCTACAACATTGCGTGACAAATCGTACAGCCAGCCACAACACAGTATATATAATACGCACACATATGAATGCATGTCCACACACCCAAGCATTCCGGTGCAGGTACACATGTATGTATGTACATACATAGAAATGTGCACTCACACAGTCACAGACACAGAAACACAAACATGCACGCAAGAACGCACCCAACGCACACGCGCACACGCACACACGCACACGCACACGCACACGCACACGCACACACACACACACACACACTGAATGCATGCCACATGTACATACACACACTCACATACAGATGGATAACTCTTATAACGTTACCCGGCTTACCTCGTAAATGACTTCCTCGTAGGACTGGGGCTTGGGCTAGGTGAGTAGGAGGATGTACGTATTCTTGCACCCATCGATGGAGAAAAACATTGCTGAAATGATCCAGCAAACAAACAAAATAGAACATTCCTCCCTTTTTTCTGTAAACATACTAATACATAGATGTAAAATTTGTTTGGCAAATATTAGTAATGAATAGCAACTAATTTAATTTTGAGATGAATCCAAATTATTAACTGGAGTGACAATTTCAAAAGGCAATCTATTGTCTTTGTCAAACTGTACAGATTGTTTGCGTGAGCTCTCACCAGATGGCAGGAGGTGTGCATGATTATCTGATGAGATGAAATCCAATACCAGTATTCTATAAAGTTACTAATGAAGGCTATAGATCAGCCTTACTTTGGCGTTTTACTATAAATCACTTGCTTCTTTTATACCTTGCCTATTCCTCTAGTAGGAGAAGGTGAGCTGGAAGTACTAGCATGGGGCCACGGGGTGATATGCAACGCGAGAGGTTCTGTGATGGGCTTGGACTTCTTTTCTGCATTTGCAGTTTCGTCCTGAAATTCGACAAGTTGACATAGTGGAATATAACAACATTCAGTATCAGAATCGTGCAAAGAGGCTGAGATGAGATACATGTACTACAGTAAGACTCAATGTAGATAACATTACTTACCAAACGAAGTTCATCCCATGATCGTGACATTTCTACTGCAGAACGAAACTCCCTGATATGTATAGAAGCACACAGATAACAATAGTAAGAATTACAGTTAGTAATAGCCATCACGTAAAAACTCAATAAATCGAATCCATTGGGAAATAAAGAGCATTTGGTTTGCTATGATCCATCTTTCATGAACACGATAATGTAATTTTTGTTACAGGTCTTTATTTGTCATATTATAATGCTACAAATGCTAGATTTACGAATTGAAAAAGGTTATATGCTAAGTAAGCTGGCTGTTGGATCAAAATATGTGCCTAAGATTACCTATTTAAAGGGATACTACACCCTAGAATTTTAGGATATATTATGATAGCAAGTGCAAAAATAATGGTATATACGTACAAATTCCTATAATCGTGCATTCACATTTGTCATAAAAACCCTCAAAAAATCATCTACTATTATATAAAATTTCAATCAAACATGTTAAACAGTAGGATTATGCTACGATATCAATTTTTCCGATTTGTTGTTTGTGTGCAATGAAAGAAATACTTGTGCTGACCTCTCATGGCGAACTTCACGAGTGTTCATTACATCCATGCCTTCCTCCTGCTTTATCTGACTCACTCTAGATGGCACTCTTATTGGTGGCGATGGCTACAATATGTAAAAAGTGTATGTTACCCTAATAAGTATTTGCAAAAAAATGCTAGTACCACCCACAAAGGTAAAACTAGCAAACTAATGTTAGTGTTCTTGTTTATCCCTCTTCCTAAACTATTGTACTGAATAAATTTTTCATGCTGTTCAAGGAAGTACAGATAACTGATTGACAAACGGTTTCAAAATTTTAACTCCCTTCATGTAAGGGGTTTGCATTATATCTGTGAGGAGAACATGTTTTTCATGCCACAAAATGCACGACTTTAATAATCAATTCGTAACTAGCATGTGACCTGGTCATTTAAAACATGAACCACATCTGTAAAACTCAACTCCTATGAAAAACATAAATTCTGCAATGGTAATCTCTACTAAGAAACAGCTATGTAGTTGAAACATTATCATTACAACATTAAGAAAAAATCACGCTCAGTCACTCAGCTAGCAAAGCCTGAATCAGACTGCGATCAGAATACACGATCATGTAGCAAAAACAAATATAACTAAAAATATACTGTGCTACTTTGTGAATAGAGGAAAAGCTAAATCATGTATCAAGCTTGCTAGAAATAGATGAAGTGTCGATCTTTAGATCCCAATATTATTTCTCCAACAAACAAAAAGCCAGTGCTTAGGCCAAAACAAAATATATGTGTGGTTACCGTTACCTGCCGAAAAAAATAGAGTAGGTAGGTAGGGAAAACATTTTATTTTCTTGAAATATTTTATTTACGAACCATGTCCGAAGGATGTGCGTTGTGCCTTTTGAAGCAGGAACTGTCCAATTCATATTTATTTTATTTTATTTATTTATTTATTTTTTTTACTTTAAAGAAAATTGACAATAAAATGTTTAGGGTCGCTGGGAATAAATAGGGCCGGTCGGGAAACCGTAACCACACCTATATTTTGTTTTGGCCTTATGTAGGCATCCAGAAATACACCACTAGTTAACCTGTCAGATAATAAACAGCAGCGAGACTGGTTGTAACTACATTGAGAATTCTTACTGAAGTTGTGTCGCAGGTAGCGCTAAACCTTCGAATGCGGTGGAACGCCGACAATGGGAAGCTTTCGCCTTCCAAGCTAAAAGAATAGATGGACTAATTTATTTTATTTCATTTAAATACATTTGATTTAATTCCATTTGAAGCATTGCCCATATGAGAAAAGTGAGTTTCAGAGAATCTACACAAAACACAAATGAACAAGATTCACTTTGAAAATGTGGATTAAATTTAACAGAATTTAATCGCTGCTATAAAATGTATGAGATTTGTAACCTGGAATGTTCAAGTCCTATTGCATTGATCATGGGGGCGCTATTAGACCGCTTCAGGCTAGGAGCAAAGCCTGGTGGCCTCAGCACTCCAACATCACTGTGGTTGGAATCAGAGGATGAGGTGTCTACATCCATCGTAGCCTTCGTGGTCCTGCATAACGAAACGGTTGACTCTGTTAAATTGACTATGTCACGAATTAGTCCTCAAACTACATAAGTCAGTAAGTGTAGACAAATTGGGTCTTACCTATTAGCCGACTTATTACTGACTAGCTGCGGGTACCCGCTGCGCTGGGTAAAATCGTGCTACTAATTCATACTACTAATAATTGGACACAATAGGAACATTGGGTAAAAATCGACAATATAACATTACACACAATATCAATATTTACAAATCAGTCTAATGAGATAATAAGCATGGGGGAAAAACTGTTACGTATGACATTTATATGACAGCAGAACCCAACTTAGAACCCCTGGAACATAATAGTAATATGGTGTAAATGAGAAAAAGTTATTATAACAGCATACATGTACGAATGGGTTGCAGTCTTCATTTGAAAACCTCTTGATAAACAATGGTTTGCGTGTTATTGTCTGTGGAAATATGTAGAGATTGCTGGCGTCTCGAACTGTTGAGCTCACCACGTACAGCTATCCATTGTCAGATCGTAGGATGAATAAACGAAATTGGGTATATAGTATAGATAGAGACAGGCCAGCCAGTGGGGTCTGTGTCCATTGGATATTGTCTAGTGAATGCTTGGCGCGCAACCGTGCACATTGAAATAAAGGAATTTTTCTACTGAATCAGAAAAGGCATAGCTTTCGAATGGTACAATGGATTCTGAAATCGTAGCATGAATAAAAAAAGCCGATATATAGTATACAGACAGGCCAGCGAGTGGGGAAATTTGTAATTATAAAAGAATGTTTACTGACTTGGTACGCGTCTTTATGCGTTGATGTTTTGAGCAATCGTAACCTCTCAAACTATATAATACTCATACTAAACTATAGTGAATCTCTATAAATATTTACAAATCAGTCTAATCAGATAATAAGCATGGTAAAAAACGGTTACGTATGACATTTATATGACAGCACAACCCAACGTAGAACCCCTGGAACATAATAGTAATATGGTGTAAATAAGAAAAAGTTATTCTAACAGCATGTACGAATGGGTTGCCTCTTGATAAACAATGCAGTCGTAACCTCTGAACAGGTTCCTGGTTGTGCTCTGTTTTAGTATCGGTTTCGGTTTCACAATACCAGCAGCTGATGGAATGAGTGATCGATTTTTCTCTGTGTGGCAGCACTGTACAGTCAGTGCTGACATTGTGTGAAGATTCACGAATTGAGGGGTTTTTCACGGATTTTTCGGTGAGTTTGACGGTTTCAGCTAGGAACACTCCCCGGGTATAAGAGATGGCCCTGTGAAAATTGCATCCAGATCGCTTGGGCGGTTTGGCCGCCTATAGGGAAGATACATACATACATACATACATACATACGAACTCAAATATATATTAGATTACTCCGGCACAACAATCACCACAAATCTGTGCTGTTATAAGCTATAAAACAGCAGATGAACCGCAAATGTGCGCCTGCTATCTTCAGATTCACGATAATGGAATCTTCAAACGGTCCCACAAAACGCGCGCATGTGCTTACTTGACGCAACTATTATAGACTGGAAAATGTATACGAAGGTAATTAACCTAGTGTAGCGACAGGGGTCTGGTCTCACGAGAGCAAAAATCACAGGCTAGGTTTGTTAACATATATAAACAATCTCATTTGAAATGCAGATCGGTGCATATATTTGTGGAAAGAATGTTGTGCGAGTATTCTATAACATGTTAGCCTTACTATGTACAGTTGTTGTTATGTGAGGAGTATTGGTAAGTATCAGAACAGTTGAGAAAATATAAAAACGGTTGATATAAATATGTGAAACCTACGTTTTAATAGTTAAACCAGTTGATTGAAATGGTGGCAAGAGCAGAGAGTCAGATTCTGGTACAGCATGCAGTGCTGCATCAAATGAGAAGTTATTAGGTGAGGCCATCGTAGTTTGGGGAGGTTCATACTTCATTACTTGAAGTTGGACTGAGAAGATCTTCCTCAACTCAAGGATGGACAAGGGGATAAGGTTAAACTTGAAAATGTAGAGATTAGGTGCAAGGGTTTTGAGCGAGAGACGGATAACCAAAAGGTAGATCAGGAAGAACGTAAATTACTCTAGCATGGAGCCTCTATAGAGCCAATTCTCGTTTGCACAGGCACTTGAAGCGTTTCAATAAAATATAATGCTAAATAAATACGAAATCTATTTACTACCAAAGTCTTAATGTTTCTATACTCTCTTTCACCTATTATTGCCGACAATTTTCTGTAAATGCCGTCTAAATGCTCATCTGCAACAAACGCTGGCTGCCGCTGCACACTGACACATAAATATAAAGCAGGTAGGAAAGCGTGCTGCCAAAATTCGCTCGACGCTTGCTTGATTTCACACGAATACAACACAAATATTCAACCATTCTACTCCATCTTTGTTTCTATTTGAAGAACAATGTTCACTTGTTAAAAAAACATACCGTCTGTGTTCGTAACCGACCTGTGTCACGCGAAATCACACAAAGCCTGATGAAATTCTCGCATTCGCTTCCGTTGCGCAGTTTATGTAAATGG